ATTTACAACTTTTATTACAGCATATTATTATAACTGTTCTATTTTATTGTTAATTATTGTTAATCTCCTGCTTGCTTAATTTATAAATTAAATTCATCATAGATATGCATGAATAGAGAAACACATAATATGCCTAAGGTTTGGTATCCAAAGTTTTAGACACTTACTGGGGGATCTTGGAATATATCCTTATAGATGACAGAACTCTTAAAAATACCTAGCCATTTTCTCTCGAAAAGAGATAACTTCCCTCAATGGAAAACACAGGAAACTAGTAGCAAATTTAGCCCCAACTCAAAAGCAAATATACATACAAATACATTTACATAAAAATTGTAGAGAAAAGCAAACAAAACTGAACCTCTGAAAGTGATTAGATCCCCTGTGAATAGATAACTGGTCACCCTGGTCATTTTTCTTATTTCACCAGTGTTCAGCTATATGGCAGACCGCTGTAGACAATCTCTTTCTCTCTTTCCCTCTCTCTCTCTTTCTCTCTCTTTTCTCTTCTCTTCTTTTTCTTCCATCTGCCTGAATCTATGACATTCTCAAAAGTAACACCTTTAACCCCATTTCTCAGCTGCCTCTTAATGAAATTTTCATAAACTTTCAGACACCAATAATGGTGCTGCAATGGGGCCTCCACATCCAGGTTTCCAGATCTGAACTCTCACCAGATCTACCAAGAATCCCTCTGGAACTCAGCCACCTCCTTCATGCTTTTTTGCTGAAAAATAATAACCAGTTCTTGCCATTCCCAACTAGCCTACAGTCATGACTAATGCATCAAGATTCTTCAGTTTTAACTTCTGAGAGACAAAGAAGCAGATATATAGTTCTGATGAGGAATTCCAGTACTATACTGAATAAGAGTGGGAGAGTGAACACTCCTTGTCTCATTACTGATTTTAGAGGAAATGGTTTCAGTTTTTCTCTGTTTAGTATGATGTTGGCTATATATTTCTCATATATAACCCTTATAATTTTGAGGTATGCTCCTTCTATTCTTAGTTTCTTCAGAGCTTTTATCATGAAAGGATGTTGAATTTTGTCTAACGATTTTTCTGCATCTAATGATATGATTATGTGGTTTTTGTCTTGAGTCTGTTTATGTGTTGTAGTTCATTTATTGATTTATGTATGTTGTACAATCCTTGCATCCCTGAAATGAAATCTACTTGATCATGGTGTCCAATCTTTTTAATATATTGTTGGTTCAGTTGCATATATTTTTCTGAGGATTTTCACATTTATGTTCTTCAGGGAAAATTAGCCTATAACTTTTTTTTTTGATGTATCTTTCCCTGATTCTGGTATTAGGTTGACACTGGCTTCATATAATCAGTGTGATAACATTCCTTCTATCTGTAATTTCTGGAATAGTTTGAGGAGCATTGGTGTTAGTTCTTTAAAGGTCTGATAGAATGCAGCAGTGAATCCATTCAGGCCTGGGCCTTTCAGTGTTTGGAAGGTATGAAACAGAAGAAAGAAATCAGGAAAACGATCCCATTGACAATAGCATCAAAAATATCTAGGAATACATTTCATGAAAGAAGTGAAAGACCTATACAGTGAAAACTATAAATCACTGAAGACAGGAATTGAAGAAGACATTAGGGGATGGAAGGACCTCCCATGCTCATGGATGGGCAGAATCAATACTGTGAAAATGACTATACTACAGAAAACAATCTATATTTCAATGCATCTCCACCAAAATCCCAATGACATTCTTCATAGAGATTAAAAAAATCAATCATAAAGTTCATATGGAAGCACAAAAGACCTCAAATAGCCAAAGCAATCATGAACACAAAAAGCAATGCCAGAGATAAAATACCTGACTTTAAATTATGCTACAGAGCCATAATAATAAAAACAACATGGTACTGACACAAAACCAGACATGAAGGCCAATGGAACAGAATAGGAAACCCAGACACAAATTTATGCAGCTACAGCCCTTTGATTTTTGACAAAGGAGTCCAAAACTTATGTTGGAGAAAAGACAGACTCTTCAACAAGTGGTGCTGGGAAAACTGGATTTCCACCTGCAGAAGACTAAAACTAGATCACTGTCCCTAACCCTATACTAGTATCAATTTGTGGATCAAAGATCTTAACATAAAACCTAAAATTGTGAACTACAGAAAATAGAAGGGAAAACACAAACATAGACAATAACTTCCTGAATAGAACTCCAGTAGCTCAGCAATTAAGAGGAAGAACTGACAAATGGGACTGCATCAAACTAAAAATCTTCTCCTCAGAAAAGGAAATAGTCACTAGAATGAAGAGACAGTCTACAGAATAGGAGAAAAATCTTTTCCAGCTAGACAATAACAAGAGATTAATCACCAGAATATACATGGAGCTAAAAACAAATAAATAAACAACCTCCCAAAAAATCAACTCAGTGAACAAGTAGGCAAATGAATTGAATAGACAATTCTCAAAAGAAGTACCAGTGGTTAATAAATACAGACATGCAAATAAATACATGAAAAATGCTCAACATCCCTAGCCATAAAGGAAATATAAATCAAAACAAACTTGAGATTTCACCTCACTCCTGTTAGAATGACTATCATCAAGAACACAAACAACTAATGCTACTGAGGATGTAGGGAGAAAGAAACCCTAATACACTGTTGGTGGAAATGTAAATTAATGCAACTACTTTGGAAAGCAGTATGGAAGCTTCTCAAAAAACTAAAAACAGAACTACTATATGTGATACCACTCCCAGCATAAATCTGAAGAAATAGAAATCAGGATACATAGAGATGCTTGCACACCCATTTTTATTGTAGCACTACTCACAACAGACAAGTTATGGATATACCCAAATGCCCTACAACTGATGAATGGATTAGGAAATGGGATTTTATTCATCCATAAAGAAGATTGAATTATGTTTTTGCAGGTAGATTGTTGAATCTGGAGATCATCACATTAAGAAAAGTAAGCCAGGTTCAGAAAGACAAAGGTTGCATGCTTTCCCTCATAAGTGGAAGATAGACCAAAATGATAAATGTATACATGAATACATATATAAGTACATATATAGAGAGAACATTATTGTAATAGTGGGATTATTTGATGGGATTAGGGGATGGGAGAGGAAACAAGAATAATATTGAAATATATTGCATCTACATATGAAGATAACACAATGAAATGCACTGAAAGCTGTTTAATAATAGGGAACAGGGGAGCTAGAGGGAGAGTAATAAAGGGGGATTAATCTGATTAAAGTACAACATATGCATCGTGAAACACCACGATGAAACCCTTTGGATAATCAATATATGCTTTTTAAAATTTTTATTATCATATTATTGTTGTACTGGGGGCACATTGTGATATCTACAAAAGTTAAAATATATCATGGTTGAATTCACCTTCTCCATCATTCTCCTTTATGTCTCTCTTGAATAGTTTCAGTCTCATTTTTCCATTTTCATACATGAATACATAATATTTCCACTACATTGAGGGACAGGAAGGTAAAATAAACCCTGTCCGAGGGTGGGTATCAGTGGGGTGAACAGAGAGGATGATGGAAGCTGATGTATACTTGTGCGAAAATAGAACAATGAAACCTGTTGAAATTGTTTTAAGAAAGGGAGAGGGAGGTGGAGGGAGTGAATCTAATCAAGGTACAGTGTAAGCACACATGTAAATGTCACAGTGAAATCCCCCGTACAACTAATATATGCTAATAAAAACCAAAAAAAAAGAGAAATATACAGAAATTGCTACTGTACAAGAACTGAAATGTCAAAAAAAGGCAAATTATAGCATCTAAGCAGAAACTTAGCCATTACTTCAAGGCCATAGAACAAGGCTGGTAAGACAGAATGACTTTGAAGGTGCCATTCTTTGATCAAGTGGCTGTTTTCTGTAGGTGAGCAAATCTGGGCAAACTCTCTAAAACTGCAAATGTGAGCTTCTGACATTGTTAAGTTGTAAATCTCTTAGAAAAAGATAAGAGGCATTGTCAACATTTTAATGATCACATTTATGGAAGAACCAAAAGAATGACATAGCTGGCAAAATGATGATATGAGAAACCTGCATTTTATAATCATGGGAAAAGAAATGCTGAAATAAGACTGCTGAACTCTTACCTCTGGCATTGTCTGTTTATTAAAAAAAAAGTGTACCCTTACCAGTTTTCTACATGTTAACCTCTAATTTTAAAATCATTACTAGCCAAACAAAGTTACATTGCCCCCAGAGAGCTAGGTGGCCCTCAGACAAACATATTAGAAAATGCCCTAGCAGGATGAAAGTCATACAACTATCTATTCCTCATTGCCAAGACTTGGATAATTATTTATGAACAGGGTTTAGGCAAAAGAGTCTTGTATTGGGGGAAATTGGAAATTTTCGTTAAATAACATGTGAGGTGCAGGGACAGGGAACTAAAACTTTTTCACAGCATGGGGACTTAGAACATTGAATTAGTATCTTGTTTATGGTTGAGTAAGTGAAATTTACCAAAACAGATCAGATTATATCTGTCATAGTAGACAATTCCAAAGAACTGTACTAACTGGGGTGTGTGTAGCTTGCATAGGAACTTCACCTTTGCTCAGGTAACTTCTCCTCTTCTTCCAATTCACTGGGTAAGGGCAAATCTTTATGGTAAAGCCTGGAAAGCAGGTGTGATTAAATTTTAATACAAATTGCTAAATGCTACGTGGCAGAGGTCAGCATATTACAAACTTAAGTGGTTTTTAATCAGTCATAAATATAAAAGGCTCATCTGATTCAAATTAGTAGCGTTTACTTCAAAGGAAAAGGAAATCACAATATTTCTTATTGATGAACACATGAGAACAATGACTACTTACTTCCTACATTTATACTGCCACAGAATTTAACACATTATGATGGTTAACTAAACATATGTTAAATGAATTAGTGAATTCTTTAAATATTTATCACAAATGAAGTAATAAGTACTGACACAGAATATTTATATATTCCAGACTTGTAAGGCCTTCTTTCCTGCCATGATTAAAGCTAACCATGGTCACTTGGTCTGTATTCCCAGCATAGTAGGAGTAGTTGGAATTAATGTACTATCAGGTGAGTATTTCATTTCATCATGTGCCTTTGTATTGACCAGTCAACAATATGCATAAATTAGAACACTTCCAAGGTAGAACCTCTTCCTGCACCAAGAAGTCCCTGGAACATTTGGCTCTATTTATTATGCTAGCATTCCCTTTTATTTCCTTACTTAAAATGGCAGTAGTGACGTTTTCAGAAGATAGTTTCTTCTTTTAAAAAAACAAAGAGAAGAATGTGACTTTTGGCTCATTACTCTTCTTAAGAGAAATACAAATGATTACATCTTTTCCTTTTTATACAGTGTGGAGATAGAAGCATGTAGTGCTTGTCCACATTGCTGACTTTAATTGTGATGCTTTGTCCTCCAGGTCAAGCCAGAGAAATGAAAAGGGAATTTATTTTTAAAAATAATTCCAAGAATGAATTTGTCAAACTCTATTACTAATAGCTTGTCACTTTGTTTCAGATTATTCTGCAAGTAAATTCGCAGCCTTTGGCTTTGCTGAGTCTCTCTTCTTTGAATTAAATATGCAACAGAAAAACCAACATTAAACCACCATTGTTTGTCCCTATTTCATCAAAACTGGAATGTTTGATGGCTGTACAACCAAATAAGTGAACTCTTGTGGCCATCTTTGCTCTTATAAAAATCTCATAATATATGCCAGTTATCACCTGATCATTTTGAAGTTTTGAAATATGGACAGTATTGAATGCATAATGTAGTAAAATAAAAAATTTTATGTAAGCCAGGTGTGGTAGCACCCATAATCCCAGCACTCAGGAGACTGAGGCAAGAAGATCTCAAGTGCAAGGCCAACCTGGCTTAACAGCAAATTCCAGGCCAGCCTGGCCTACCTAATGAGACACTGTCTCAAAAAAACAAACAAAAAATTTTTTCAATGTATATGAAATTAATGAATTTATTTAATTTAAAGATTTTGATGTTTACAATGTGCTAAAAACTTATCCCTGGTATGCTAATCAGAATAGTAAAATATAATGGAGACACTGATAATGAAAACTTATTCAAATATTTAGCATTGTAGTGCTGATAATTTCTTTTCTAAAAAGAATATTAAAGCATAACTATCACCAAATATAAAATACTTTATAAAATTAATTAATATATATATGGGGAAGTGTTACAAAGTGATCTTTTGGTACAAAAGTTAGGTTTATTTAGAACAGTTTAAACTAGAATGCAAATGAAATAAGTTTTTACAAAAGGGGGCCAATTAGTGGAGTTTAATGAAAAGTACAAATTTAACATGAGGACTAGTGAAGTTATTATAACTGTTAGAAAATGAACTGACATGATTCAAATGACAAGCATCAGGTTGTCATCAGCATATCTGTTGGAAAGAGAGACAACCAGCAAAAAAAGCTGGTTAGTCTCCCTACAAATAGAATGTGAGGGAAAATAAACTCGGTCCCTCTCAAGTGGCTTCATAGTAAGATGTGTCCTGATGATAAAGCATGTAACAAAGAAATACTAATATCAAAATAGCCCAACCCAACTCTTTGGACAGATGCCTCCCTTCATTTTGTCCAAACATCCAACCATGAATTTAAAAACTGTTTTTGAATGACTTCCACGGCTAGGTACTATTTTGAGCAATGGGTTACATCTGTGATTAAAACCAGATAAAGGCCTAATTTCTTTCTCCCCTTACATTCTAGGTGGGGAAGAAAGATACTAAACACATTCATAAGTGGTTATAAATGTTAAGATAATAACTGCTAATAAATGCTAAGAATAGCATATAAAAATCTGGTTAAAGATAATGAGAATACTTAGAGTTTAGTGAAGCTATAAAATTAAATAGAAAGTTTAAAAACAGGTGGTGAAGAGCTGACAGAATATAAACGACAAAACTTTCTGCCAAAGAGACTACTCTTGGGGGTCTATGTACTAATCTGGTCAAAATGGCAAGAACAATCAAGTAAAATCTCTGGAGATTGATCAAAAGTTATGCCACAAACCGAAAAGCATTAATTCAATAACACCTATGGAAACTCAGTAAGAGTTTACTCAGTAAGAGCAAAAGCCATGGCATTTAGAATTAGTTATATACCTGTCCTTTCTGGGACAGCTGTTTCAGGGGACTTGACAACAAAGTGGCAATTCCCACCTTCCCTCAGTTTTCAGGAATGAAAGAACTATTTTGTGTAGTCTGGAGGCAGGTGAACTTTGGAATATCCCATCTTCAACAGAAGTGAACAGCATCAGTTAGACAAGGCTTGTTCCTTCACCTTCAACTCTAGCTAGGTAGGAAGGATCTGGGTCGGAACTATTGGTGGAGAGAGCACTTCCTCTTTCTAGAGGAGCTCTTGGTTATAAGAGCTCCAGTGAACTCAGCAGTCAAGTTTCAGGACCTGTCTCCAGGCTTCCTATGAAACTAATTTTATGCAGATTTACCAGAAAGTTAATACCAGAGGGTCTCATCCTTCTAAGCACAGGGGTATGGAAAATCTATACAAGGTGGTAGCAGCAGGTGGATGATAGCACTAGTTCCTGCTATCCTCCAACTTTCATATCCTTATTAATAGGGTCAATTGGAGTGAGATAGTCAGTGGTGCGTTATCACCCCCATAACACAGAGGTTCTCCCAGGTGAAGGTCAAAACTAATCTCAGAGATAGGCATCTCACAATCACTGTCACAGGATATGACTTCAGTTAGATAAAACCATTGATCAGAATATTCTCAAGAAGTATAACACAACCTGTTAGCAAGTTGTGGAAGTTAAGGGCTGGGTGTGACATGAGAAGGAGCAGACCAGCCATAACTGTAATGATACGATCAGTATAAGTGACAATATGCCAGCTAAAACCACAATCATCCCTGATAGTCAGGAAAACTTTGTGCATGCCCCAAGTTTACATCCTCAGAGGAGTGATATCAAAGCTACACAGTGACATTAGTAGGGAAAGGCAGATTTCACTGAACTAACCCATTCAAGTCACTAACTAAATTATTTTAAAAAGTAGGCAAACTCTGAGCATCAGTGGCTCATGCCTGTAATCCTAGCTACTCAGGAGGCAGAGATCAGGAGGATGGTGGTTCAAAGCCAGGCCAGGCAAACAGTTTGTGAGACTCTATCTAAAAAAAAAAAAAAAATCACAGTAAAGGGCTGGCAGAGTGGCTTAAGGTATAGGCCCTAAGTTCAAACCCCAGAACTGTAAAAAAAAAAAAAAAGTAGGCAAATAACCATAACAAGTCCCATGGGAAGCTACTATCCAGAATTACTAAAATATATTATCTTAAATGTCTACTTTTTAAGAAAAATTATGTGCTATTCAAAGAAAGAGGAAAGTGTGACCCATACATGGGAAAAAATATGCAATAGAAATAACCTTTATGAGGCCAAAATATTGGACTTAGCAAACTTCAAAGATCTATTATAAATACATTCAAATAACTAAAGGAACCCGTGTTTTAAAAATGAAAAGAAGCTATCATGAAGATGTTTCATCATACATCAATAGATAGAAAGTATAAAAAAATCTATAAATTTAGGAGTAGAGAAGAAAAAAATAACTGAAAAACTGATTCACTAGAACAACATACCCCACTGGAGGTGACTGAAGAATGAATGAGTGAACTTGAAGACAGATGGAATGAGACTATGCAATGAGAAGAAAAGAAAGAAACAAAATGAAGAAAAACAAGGGCCCAGAGAAATCGAGGACATTGCTGAACCCATAAACATATTCATAATAAGAGTAATAGAAATAGAGAATACAGAGAAAGATGCAGAAAAAATACTCAAAGAAACATCTGAATAATTCCTAAATTTGATGAAACATATTAACTTCTTTATTCAAGAAACTCAATGAACTTCAAACAGGATGAAGACAAGAGGTTCCACATCACAGTTAAAATGTTGAAAGACAAAAACAAAAAGGCAATCTTGCAAGCAGCAAAAGAAAAAGTGTCTCATCATGTACAAGAGAAGTCAAGTACAATTAGCAGTGGACTTCTCAGCAGAATCAATGGAAACCAGAAGGCTGTGGAATGACATAGTCAAAGAGCTAAAGATGATAACCAAGAATCTTGTATCTAGCAAAACTGTACTTCAAAAATGAAGACTAATGAAAAACAAAAAATTCATTGCTAACACATCTTTGGAAATACTAAATGAAATTCTTCAGGATGAAACAAATTATATGAGAGTAATCTGAATTCACATGAAAAAAGCAGAGGGTCAGTAGTGGCAGTAAACCAGGTAATTTTTAAAAGCAATATAAAAGCACATTTTCCCTTTCCTCAATGAACTGATTATTAATGCAATAGAATTATTGGACCTATTAACACACGAAGTATACAATTTTTATATTAAGAGCACAGAGGAGGTGGTAGAGATAAAGCTGCATTGGAATATGGAAATGACACAATATCAGGAAGAAATAAAGAAAATTAGAAATGGAGAAGGTTGATATAATAAATTCTATAATATATACTTGTTCTCCTTATTCTCTCAGCTTCTTTAAAACATACAACCTATAAAGTAATAACTGCAATGCCATATTATCAGGTTTATAAGCTACATATATATATATATATATATATATATATATATATATATATATGCATAAAAGAGGAAAAAGTAACATAGCTACATGGTAGTAAATTTCTATACCTCACCAAAATTAAGGTAATATAAATCTAAAGTAGATTCTGCTAGGTTAAGAAAGACCTAGAGAAACCACTAAGAAAATAACTTTGAAAATACAATTTAAGAAATTATTAAAGATACCCCTATGAGCAAAAGGGCACAGAACACAATCAACTAAGTAGCCCTAAAGGCAACGCCAGGATATTCCACCCAACAGCAGCAGAGGGCACACTCTTCTTAAGCACAGATGGAACATTCTCTGGGATAGAGTATATGCGTGGCCACAAAACACCAAAACCTAAGAAGACTGAAATTATACAAAGTATACTCTCCAACTAAAATGAAATAAAATTAGAAATCAAAAATAGAAGAAAGTTTGAGAAATTTACAAATATATGGGAATACAACAAACCAAAATTCATAAAATATAACTAAAGCAGAGGGAAATTTATAACATAAATGACTACATTAAAAAAGAAGAAAATATTAAATGAATAATATGTTATTCAAAAACTGTAAGAAATAAGAACACATTAAACCTAAAGCAAGCAGAAAAAACAAATATTGCAGCATAAATAAATAAAACAGAGAATGAAAAACTAGAGACTATCAATGAACACAAAATTTGGTTCTTTGAAAAGATCAACAAAATTTATGAAACATTAGCTAGGATGGCAAAAAATTAAAAAGAGAAGATGTGAACTACTAATACCAAGAATGAAAAGAGAGAACATTACTACTGTCATTACACAAAAAGGAAATGTGAAAAAAATCCATGCCAATAAACTAGATATAGTCAATAAAAATGGCAAAAATTCCTAGGGAAATACAAGCTAACAAGGCTTGAAAAGGACAAAATGAAGACTTAAGACAAAAATATTAAATTAGAAACCTAAAATGTCCCCACACAATAAAACTCCAGATCCAAGTGGCTTCCTGGGTAATTTTATTGAACTGAAGAAGAATTAAATACAAATATTTTTAAACTCTTCCAAAAATCAGATGAAGATTGAGCATTTTCCAACTTACCAGACAAAAGCATCACAGGATCATAAAAGTAAGATCCATACCTCTTACAAACAAAAATACAAAAATCTTCAATAAAATAGTAGCAAACAAAATCCAGCAACATGGAATAATGATAATATACCATGATCAATTGAGAGTTATCCTGGAAATTCAAAGTTGAGATAATAGTATTATGCAATTTAACATATCATATCAACAGAATAAAGGACAAAAACTTCATAATAACCTCAATACACACAGAGCAAGCATTTAGCAAAATCTAAACACTTTCATGGCAAAAACATTCAAGAAACTAGAAATAGAAGACAACTGTCACAACCTGATTAGTAGCATCTATGGAAAACCCACAGCTAACATCATACTTAATGGTGAAACTAATTGCTTTCCCCCTCAAATCTAGAGCAAGGCCTGGAGCTGGGGATGGAGCTCAGTAGCAGAGCATTTGCCTTGATGGGCAAGGCCCTGAGTTCCATCCCTAGCAGAATAAAAAATAAAGGTAAAAATACACACACTCACCACTCCATATGAAATAAAAGGTACAAAGATTGGAAAGAGAAAAAAACTATCTTCATTCTCAGATGACATGATCTTGTACATTAAAAAATCCTAAGAAATACACACACACCATTATTATGTCTAAGAAATGAATTCAGCAAAGTTATGAGATTGATACACAAAATCAATTCATAAAAATCAGTTGTATTTCTACACACTTGTAATGAATAAGTCAAAAATGAAGTTAATAAAATAAATCCATTTACAATAGCACCAAAATTAAAAAGGAATTAGTAACAAATTTAACAAAAAAGTAAAAAAAAATTATACGTGAAAATTATGAAGTATCTTTGAAAGAGATTAAAGAAGACTTAAATAAATTGAAATAAATTCATAGACTAAAAGGCTTAATATCATTAATATTCTATCTCCCCAGATTCAATGCAATTCTTATCAGATTCCTACTGCCTTCTTTGTAGGAATTGGCAAGCTGATCCTAAAATTTATATACAAATGCAAAGGACCAAAAAGTCAAAGCTTTTCTGAATAATAAAAAATTTGAACTGAATCATACTTCCCAATTTCAAAGATTACTACAAAGTTAAACAAGTCAAGACAGTGTGGTATTGACAGGATAGACATACAGATCAGCAGAATAGAACTGAACCCACAACTCTTACATTTATGCTCAATTAATTTTTCAATGGGGATGGTAAGACAATTCAACAGACAATTGGGCAGCCATATGCAAAAGAATGAAGTTGGATCTCAACTCCCATATTATATACAAAAGTTAATTAATTCAAAGTGGATTAAAAACCTAAATGTAAGAGATAAAACCATTTTAAAAAACTCTTAAAGGAAAATAGTGTACATTTTCATGATCTTGGATCAGGCAATGGTGTATATCAGCTATGACACCAAATTATAAGCAACAACAACAGAAGATAAATAAACTGAATTTATCAAATTAAAAAATTTTATGCTCCAAAGAACAACTCAAAGAATGAAAGAAGAGTTTTGTAAATCCTATAACTGATTAGGGACTTGTATACAAAATATATGAAGAATTTTAACAACTAAACAATAAAAAGGAAAATAACACATTTTTTAAGTTGGCAAAAGACCCAAAGAGACATTTCTCCAAAGATTACACAAGTGGTTGGTGTGCATAAACAGAAGCTCAACATTAGGGAGATGTCAATCTGGCAGTGTGATTACACTAAAAGAAGGACAGACAATAACAAGCATGGAAAGATAAATTGGAACTCTCATATATTGCTGGCGGGATTGAAAAAATGGTACAGTCACTTTGAAAAACAGTTTGGTAGGTCCTCAAAAAGGTCTACATAATGTTACCACATTGCCATGCCTAAGAATATATCTGAAAGAAATGAAAACAAAACCTTGTACCCTATTGTTCATATCTGTATTTTTCATCATATCCTAAAGGTGGAAACAATCCAAATATCCGTCAAGATGTATCCATCTTATATCCATACAGCCGTAAAAAGGAATAAAATTCAGAGGCATGCTATCACATGAATGTACCTTAAAAACATTATTTTAAGTGAGAGAAGGTAGATACAAAAGCCCATCTACTATATGACTTCATTTATATGAGATGTTCAGAATAGGCAAATCCATAGAGACAGAAAGACTATCGGTTGTCAGGGACTAGAGAAAGGGCAAATGGAGAGTATCTATTAATAAGAGGTTTGAGGGGAGTGATAAAAAATGGAACTAAACAGTGATGATGAATTTTCCGAATATATTAAAAATCACTAACATATTTAAGACTGGATTTTATAGTATATGAATTACATCCCAAAGTTGCTATTAAAAAAAACACAGTGAATAACTTTTCACAACAACTAGGATACGCCCTTTGCAAATGTGTTATTGTCCAGAAGTAAGCATCTAAATGCATGGCTTAGTCATGGATTTCCTCTATAAACCTTCAGATTGACTGTCTAGAATGAACTGAGGCTGTGCCTTGAATGTGCAAAGTATAGAAAAGACAGACAATAACAAGTATGGGTGAGGATGTGGAGAAACTGGAACCCTTATACATTACTGGTGGTATTGTAAATTGGAGCAGTTGCTTTGGAAAACAGTTTGACAATTACTCAAAATGTTAAACACAGTTACCACATGACATAGCAATGCTGTGTCTAGGTATATACCCACGAGAAACAAAAACATGTGTCCCAAAAAAACTTGTACACAAATGTCATTTTTGGTAACAGCTGAAAAGTAGAAACAACCCAAATATCCATCAACTAATGAAAGGATACACTCAGTGTGGCATATCCACACAGTAGTATATATGTGATGTGAAAATGCAGCAAAAATAACAAAGCATCCTGTGAGAAGTAAATCAACTATGTGAAACTTATGACAAAAAATAGTAAATACTTTATTATTACTTACAAACTGTATACCATGATGCCTTATGTAAATATTTATAATCAACTTTGTAAGTGTATTTATTTTGTATATATGCATATATGTTATTTTCTTTATTTTTAACATTATTACTAAAAGAACAAGATCAGTAAGAAATGATAATAATATGTGATTAAGTGCTTTTAATGCTAGATTGTTGAGGTCACAAAAGTAATGTGACCAGCCAGGATAATAGAATGTCAGCCAGTGAATGACCATGATGTGAAATGATGACTTTTATAAACTGGGGATCCCTAGGAATATAGGTTAAAAAAGTCTCCAGAAAAAGAAAGACTAAAAGTGATAAAGGACGACAGAAAGAATGATTGGAGATTATATTTTAAATAAATGTTAGAGATCTTTAGGCTAGAGTTCTAAGGAACTTTTAGGTGAATGTTGACAATGTAAAGACTAATTATCAACATGTAATTAGGCGATACTGATCAGACTCCAAGAATCAGCTGAAATAAATAGAATTTTTCAGAGTGTATGGTTCAAGTAACTGAAAGAATACTATAAAAGCGTAAAATGTCAAAGAAATGCCTGATAGAATGTTTATTTTCATATTCTTATCCATCGCCTCCTATTAATTCACAAAAGTTTATTTCTGCTTACTAATGTTATAATGGTCTGCCTAAAATGATACATTATACTTGCTCAAGACACTTTTTTCATAAAATACTTTTTATTTTGTTTCTTAATGTATTGTTTGATGTTTAGAAAAAGAAAGACAAAAAAAAGTCTAAACATAATTACTTCCATATGTTCAAGGCATAAAGAGAAAATAAATAAAGGTTGGGAGCTCACCAGAGGAAATTAAATATATTAGCACTGGTCCCAACATTGGCAATGAGAAAAAACACAAGACAACTCCTTTTTCCTATTTACAGCTATATATTACAATTATATATTTGAAATTTTATAATCAATGCTCATGATGACCATTAAAAAAGACCACTGTGATGACATAACTTTCACTACCATTATTCCAGGTACTCATTTCTCCTACCTCTACTGGAACCGAAGTATGTGGCCCAAAAAGTTTTCAATGCAGTTTTAGAGGAACAGGTTTACCTTATGATACCCAAATTTGCATATCTTGCATTGTTCCTTAAACAGTAAGTTAATAATGACCTCAATATCCTTTTGGTTAATTGTTAACAAATTGTCCAATCATGGCTACTTCTTTGATATAGAAAACAACTTTACTTTTTTTTTTAAGTGATGAGAGGGAGACTTTTAACAATGCAAGGACAATTTATTGAACAATTGCTAGCTGTGTCTTTGTTACTTAAGACATTGACAAAATTTAGCAACTATTTAAGCCTTGCAAAGTGGGAACGTTATTTGTTCCAATGTAGACACAAGTTCTTTGGAAGGTTTTGGGCTTTATGTTGTTTTGAGTTGTTTTATGTCTTATTGAGTTTTTTGGGTCTTTGTTCTGTTTTGGTTAGACTGGGGGGAGGTGTTCATTTGTTTGTATGGTTGGATTTTTGAGACAGGATCTCACTATGCAACAAAGGCTGACCTCAACCTCGCTATGCAGCCCATGCTGGCCTTGAATTCAGAACCCTTCTGCCTCAGACTACTTAATGCTGGGATTACAGACATTAACCACCACACTTGGCTCTTTTGTTTTTGATTAATTATTTAGTTTAACTAACACAGAGTTCTATTTTGAAACAAAACCCAAAAAAGCCTGTAGTTTTAGAAAAATTCTAAAGGTATTTGGCAAATTCCTCAATTCATTTAGTCGAAGAATTCCTACAACTCCCTACAAGGCACTGGGCTATTTGTGGATGGATTGCATCCAGGCCCACATCTAACATTCAAAGAATGCCAACTGTATTCCAGCTACTGTGCTGAAGCCTTTGCATGAATCTTATCACATTTAGGAAATCCAAGGTCTAAAGAAAATAAGTAGTTTTTGCAGGGACAAACAGCTAATATGTGCTGAAACATAGTTTCAAATCAAAGTGTCCAATCTGATTACAGACCTGAGGCCTTTGCCATCAGGCTACATTCCTCCACTGCACCACATACAGGTTGCCTTTTACTTACACGAAATGCTTGGGACCAGAAGCATTTTAGATTTCATACTCTTTTCAGATTTTAGAATATTTGCATATGTACATAATGAGATATCTCCGGAATAGTGCTTAAATCAAAACACAAACTTAATTTGCTTCCTACATACCTTCTACTCACAGCCTGAAGGTAATATTGTACAGTATTTTTAATGTACCTGCATTTTGACTATGGCTGTCACATTAGATCAGGGATGGAATTTTCCACTTGTAGCATCATGTAGGTACTTAAAAGTTTTGGATTTTGGAGCATTGTGGATTATGTTTAGGGCAAAACAATGATTTCTTTATTACTTATATATATTCAGCAAATTTTCTATCCATCTGTAACTGTCCTGATTTTTCTGGTAGGTCAAAGTCCATCATGATGCAGCCTCAATCACACTTGTCCCTGCCTTTTGTATCACTCATCACATGCTTGCTTGAAAGCTTGAGTGCTCCTTGGGGACAGAACATATTTTCTGAATTGTTTCCTGCTCCATGCTCCTCCCTAAAGCCGTCCCCAACATATAATAAGGATATAATATGTATTTGCTGAGTTGAGTTGAACAGAACTGGCTGATCTAAGCAGAAGTGATCTGAAGGCACAGCCTCTATCATCAACAAACTCAAGCAACAGTTCCAAACCTCAGTGCACACTGGATTCACTGGGCCACATTCAAAGCTAAATGTGGTGCTTTAAATCACTTCCTGAGTGCTAACCCTGGGTATTCTGCTTACTCTGTCTGGTTTTCTTTCTAGTTTTTGCTACTGTTTGTTAGTCTGATCGATAAGAATATACTTAGTAAATAAGGGGTCATTGGTCTCTCCAAAGAACCAGTAAGTGTGATATGTCTGTAAAATGCGATTTCTTAAAGTCAAGGTTGATAGTCATTGGCATCAAGGATGCTGTGGCCCTTGACTGTGATACAGTAGCACCCCTCTGTTCATCCCTCCATTAAGTGACATGCAGGCTGGTGGAGTGGCTCAAGTGGTAGAGTGTCTGCCTAGCAAGCATGAAGCCCTAAGTTCAAACCCCAGCACCACCAAAAAAAAATTAAGTGACACACATGACAGGGATGACGTGTGATTTGCACTTTGTGTGACTTCTACTTTTTGTAATTTGTGCACTTCATCTTTGCAAAGTATTCTCTTTGACTACTTTAAGGATCTTAAAGAATTATAAATTTTTCTTTGGTTTTCTCTAGAATAATATCTCCAAAAATGATGACTGCCCTTGCCGAGTACCTTGGAGTGAACACTTGCATGACTTCTTTCAAAGGGCAAGTGAAAGCAGATGAATTTCAGATGGAAACTGAGAGGAAACAACAATAGCTCAAACTTCAAAAGTGGTAATCAAGCCAGGAGCAGTGGCTCATATCTATAATCCTAGCTACTCCCGAAGCAGAGATTAGGAGGTACACAGTTCAGCTTAGGCAAAAAGTTCACAAGACTTTTCTCAACCAATAAAAGCTGGGCATAGTGGTACACACCTGTCATCTCAGCTATGAAAGTTGCTCAAATGGTAGAGCAACTGCCTAGTAAGCACAGGCCCTGAGTTCAAACCCCAGTACCATAAAAAAATGGTAATCAAATAAAAAATGTTAAAATGACAGCTTATTTGTATTTCATTCTAATGCTTAAAGCATTTTGGTCCCATATATTTTCTATCCAAGGTTGGTATCATGAGAACTTTCAAATATGGAGAACTAACTGGAAATAGTAGCCATGCATGTAACTTTATCCCAAATCTCCACATATGGTCATGAAATCTAACAAACATAGTCAACACTGAACTGAGTGGGTATGAAATTTGGTTACTTCTATAATTTCCTTCTGCCACGTTCAAAAAGCATCAGATTATGACAAAACTTTCTACCTCTTTAGCACTCTGTACTTAAAACATTTTATAAGAATATCAATTTGGGGGAGTACAGGTTCATTTGAGCATGTCAGTCTCTAAAAATGAAGATTCGTTTTGCAATAGAAAAATATTACAATTGACGATTATTCTTAGCCTGCAGAAGTCTTCTCAATCCAATGCAATAATCAAAAATGTTAAAAATTAAACATGAAAGCAGTATTTAAGAGTCAATTAGCCATTTTAAAATCAAATGTTTGAAAAAATCTTAAGTGCTTGATGCAATAGAACTTTGTCACAACTCTGACCACTTGGGTCTCCAAAAGGCTTAGAAAACTGAAAGTACTTTCTTTTGCCTGACTTCATTTTTAAAAATAAGTCTTTTCCTGGGGATATGGCTCAGTGATAGAGGCCTTGCCTGGCCCTATGTTTGCTCCACAGTACTGCAAAAAAAAAAGAAAAAATTAAATTAAATTTTTAAAAGCCTTTTCTTAAAACTAGAAAAAAGACAGATTTTGGCTTCACATAAGAAATAATGTTGTCATAACAGCTGCTCAAAATTAAAATGACTTTTGAGTGTCGGCGGAGTTTTCCATTTCTGAAAAATCAAAGGAGCTTAATGAGTAAATCCTGTGGATCCCTCCCAATCCTGAAAACCTCTGAGACTCGCTCGCAGAACTAACTTATTTAGCACTCATTCTTGCAGTAAACCGTTACTGAGAACCTAAGTGCAGAGCCATACGTATTTGTGAAATTACCAAATGTACTTTTGCCTCACACACAGAGCTCAGTGAGAGAAAAAAGAAACAGGAGAGAGTGTAAGGACAACTTTGTGAAATTTGGAAGAAAAACTAAAAGGAAAAAGGAAAAGTCAATAAGGAAATGAGTACTACTAGCTTTTCTTGAGGAATTAAGCCTTTGGATGAAAAAGGCGCTTTCTCCAAGAGGACTTCTAGAAACTTCTTGGGGTGGGCCCTCCCTGAATCAGGAAGTGGAACTGTGGTGACCCGGGGCTCAGTGGAGGCCTTTGCACTCTGAGTGACATAGGTAACATGAAGCATGAAGTATGGTGGGCCAAGGCAGCCCGGGTAAAAGCAGAGAATTTGAGAGTCAGGAAGAACCCGGGAGCAAAGCTGGGACTGGAGTGCAGAGCCCAGTGCCAAACAAAATGTGTGGCCCACTGTTCAAAAACCAGGGAAAGTGTGTCGTAATGGCCACTAAAACAGAAAGCTTCTTCCTTTAAAAAAAGAAAAAAATTGTGTTACTAAACTCAGCATGGTGGTTCACTCCTGTAATCCTAGCTACTCGGGATCGGGAGGATCATGGTTTGAGGCCAGCCCTGGCAAAAAGCTGGGTGTGGTGGCTCACAACTGTCATCCCAGCTACACAGGATATATCAATAGGAGGGTCAGGGTCCAAGCCAGCCTGGGCATAAAGCAAAACTCCATCTCAAAAACAACCAATGCTGAAAGGGCTGGGGGCAGGGCTCAAGTGGTAGAGCGTCTGCATAGCAAAACCAAAGCCCTGAGTTCAGCCCCACTACTGCAAAAAAAAAAAAATTGTATTACTTATAAAACATATTACAGATCATTCTAATACATGAGTAACAACAGCTACGAACTAGAAAAACAGAGAAATTTTTGGTTTCATAATCTTATGTAATGCAACAACAAGTTATGAATGTGATAACTGGTCATAAGATTTTTCTGATTCATGTTTTTGTAAATTCATTTGTTTAGATCATCAAAATGTATACGTTCAGCAATTTCATTTTTAGTCATTATAGTTGAAAGTGACAGTCATGATTTCAGGCAAATAAAAGATTGCAGATAATCTTTAAATTTGAGAAATTTCTACTGATGCAACTGCTAAGAATGTGTTACAGGCTATGACAATATTGAGATATAATTCCAATCAATTCTAAAACAAATTTTAGCACATAAGTAGCGAATTCAGCTTATGGGACAATTTCTCTAAAAAAGATTTAACTCCTCACATGTACCAGATGCAGGTAAGCATAATTCTAAATGTAAATTTATGCAAATGGAATTTTAATGCTCCCTGATTTCTGTAACTTGTGGATGTTGTACAAAAAACTAAAATTGACTTCATGATTTGTGCACAATTCAAAATGCCTATTTATGTATTTTGCCACTGTTTCTTCAACTGGAAGGGAATTAATTCTAAAATTGTCATCCTTACTAATAATTGGTTCATATGAAGTTTCCAAGGAAAATAGTGTTTTCCCATCCAATACAATAATCTTTAAATTCAATTTCTATTTCTAAGCCTGTGACCATCTGCTTTGCCATGTAGCAGCAATTTTCCAAACCAAAATTGTAACACTCTTTGAAGAATTCTAACCTGTTTCAGGTTCTTTGTCTGTACAAAAACTCATGGATTAATGCATACAAACAAGTTACAAATGTGCCAGGCACATCATAAGGACTCAGTAAGTGTTTAGCTATGAATATTTTTCACAATCACAGTTTATTCCTTCTCCAAACCACAATAGGTATGGGCTGTTATGCCCACTTTACAGATGGGCAAACAGAAGGTTAAAAGAACAAGCAGCATATACTCTCTCTACAACAAAATTAGAAATAAGGGCAAAATAGTTTCTGCTGGGTATTGGGGGGGGAGAGGGAGGGGGCGGA